TGCTTCTGTGAGTCCGCATCAGCTTTTGGCGCTGATCCTCACACCCTCTCACACAAAGCAGCTTTCCACGAAAAACACCGAATGGGCCATCCCTCATTCAGGGAAACTTGCAAATGTCAACACCGATAGGCCTGTCACTCACAAGTGACTCGTTGCGTAACAGATGGAGAGGGCCTTACGCCGATTTCTGAGGAAAACATCTCGGATTGCGTAATTTCTCCCAGATATTCTGATCCCCGGTCACTTTCATGGTAATATGAAAAAGGAAACATGAGGTTTTTTTTGCCTTTAATGACTTTACGTCAGACTACTCAGAAATATTTCACCCCTGTGGTCCAGGTCACAGCATTTGGGAATTACAAAACGTATTTTTCCTGCGTGCCCCCTGCCGCAGTGTAACTTTATTTCCAGCCACAGAGAGCTGAACTGAAGCAGAAGCCAGCCTTTAATATTTAAGGGGCCGAGAACCGAGGCTCTGACACTGCAACACCCCCATGTGACTCCACCTGACAGCGAATGCTGTGTCCCGGTTGGGAAAATAGTGTGATTCAATTTGACTAAATCTGATTTGAAACCCAGTCTAGAGTGGAGGCAAAGCAGCAGATGTAGGTTTATTTTTACCCGTCACACTCTTGTACGTGGAACAGTACTGCTGAGAAGACACATTAATAATGTAGACTCAGCTTCTCTCTTCTTAAATTTCCGGATTTAGGGATGTTGGTCACCAGCCATCTCTAATCAGGTTGCTTCTATTCTGTTATTGGATGCCTATGAACTGGTTTGAGCTTAATGATGAAAATGTCCTCTTTTTTTTCTTTCCTTTTTTGGTCCATTTTCAGTCCTCAAAAGGTCAATACGGCGTTAGTTTTTGACCGTTTGTAAAACAATTGAGTTTAAATTCCTTCGAATCAAATTGGAAAGGGGCAGTTTACATGAGTGCATATTCATGCCACTTGATATAAAGTGATGACAGGCAATGGAAAAGTTAGAGAACTCACCTGTAGCTCGTTGTTGTTGGCCATCGTGCGCATTTGGATGACTTGCTGTTGGCTCCCCGGGTCCCCTTACAGCCGCCGGATCATTGTAGACATTCCCAAGTCAAGTCTTTTTTTTTACTTACACAGCGTAGTGTAGAGCATAAACGTTAAGGAGGAAAACGATTTGAAAACAAACAAACAGCCGATAATCCCAGCGAAGCGCGCCGCTGCTGCGCATTTGGCGCAAAACGCGCAAAATCACAAGCGCGTCAAAAGGAGGAGAGGGAGAGGGAGCAGGAGCGTGTACGCGCGGGGGGAGAGGGCACCATCACCTCCCGGCCACGGGCTGTCATCAACTCCCGGACTGTGGCGAGCATCGCGCCGTGCGCGGTGTTCCTGTAGGGCGAGGAGCGGGGCTTTTCTCTCATCGTCGAGGGGGGGGGGGGGGGGTATGGGGGGGGGGTAGAGCCGCAATGGAAGTCGAAACCCACCCCGGATGCACCAGGACTGCCTGGCCTGGTCTGGCGTAGCTTCTAGGACGTAACCAGGTCCATCTCCCCCAGCGGTGCATGCGCCCCGCGGCTCCAATCCGCTGTGGGCTGAGAGCCGGGAGGGATGCTGGCCGGTCCCCAGGAGAACACGGGAGGTGTCTTCCGGGTGGGGTTTCTTCAGAATAAAACGCGCACCATCAACAGTTGTTCTCTGAGACCTACAGCAGCAAAATGGGCCAAATAGTCTTTACCGTGCGCTAGTTTGGCATCTTTTAGCGCAGTTTTTTGTTTTCTTTGCAAATAATCAGAAAAGATCAGCCTGGATGCAGGTTAGAAGCGGAAAAAACAAGTCTATTACCGGGTTAGAAGGCTTTCATTTTGAAAGCAGCACCGTCTAACCGGTGCTGTTTCACGTTTCCACCGGCGGGATGATGGAGATCTGACTGCGGCAGCGCAGCGCCCTCCTGCTCCGACCTGTTGATCAGGTTACAGAGCTGTTGGCACGGACCTGTGATATATGAGGAGAAGGCTTTTCCCCATTTGCGCTTCACGTAGACAGAAAAATCCACTGTGCGTTCGTTTTGGTTTATTCTTATCACCATGATGTGTCAGATCAGATGTCGTCACTGGGTGACAGGTCCATGTTGTATTCTACTGCTGAGTCACGTTTAAGTAACAAAGAATAATATGTTTGGACTAAAAAGACACATCTATTATAAAAATTGGTCTTATGCTCCGTTGATTTTCTGTAGAAGAAGTGAGCTGTTCTAATTGGAGACAAAACTTTACGATATAGGAAGACAAAAAAACAACAAAAACAATAATGACTGCAGTGGACATCCACAAGAGGAAAACACTAGAGCAGCAACAGTAACGTATAAACAGAGTTCAGTGGTTGGATAGAGGCCTGCCAGGATCTGTAATGCTGCAGGGGGTTTGAAAATAGGAAACCTGAAAGGGGAAGTTGACCTCGTCAGCTTCCTCACGCAGTGCAAAGACATTTCTGCCCGGTTAAACAGCGATCCTAAATCTCAGTATAGAGTGAATGGGATTTAACCCGAGTCTTATCTGATGGCAGACGCCCCAGTCCCTCCGGGAACCCTTAAAAGGATGATACAGGTTTGGAAAATAAAAAGATCAGGGTCCAACCCATAACCAGGCTAACAGGGAGTACTTTTAAGTTTACTGTGGTACTTAAACCTCTTCTGGATGCTCTTTTAAATACACACTCACCCATTGGCTGATTTGATGACACTTTATTTCAAAAGCAGTTGAACCTGACTTTTTGTATGGATTATTTCCCCTATCCAAAAATCAAAACAAGCATACAGGTACATTTTATTTGTTTTATGGTTAGGAAAAAAGAAGTGTAATGCAGAAATACTGTCAAGTTGGAGGGGTTTACCTATTCAGTGTGTTTGTTTGTGCCGATGCCTTTACTGGGTCTTTTTCTACCTGGTTAGGTTCCGGTGGGGCTTCCTGGACTCGGCCTTAATGTCAGGGTTGGGCGCTCACACATCCCAAGGGAATTTGGATCGGGGCTGCGACCAACTTTGGCTAATTGAAGAGGTGCTTTGTGGCCTGTGAACATCTTTGACCCCCCTCGGGGCAGCAATGCAAATGTTTGTGCGGAGAATTTACCCAACTGGAACTGTTGCCTCCACAACCCAACCTCAGATAAGTGGAAGGGGATTTATAGATTAATTAAACCTTATGTCCCTTCACATCCAAAAAAAAGAGAAAAAAATAAACTTTAAAATAGCATGCCTATTGAATTAGGCTCTATCACTAACTATCCAAAGACTTTTCTCCTTATTTTCATCTAATTGACACAAAAATCTGGTCAAAACAGCCATTCTCACATTCCTTATAATGACAACAAGCATGAAATGACACGCGTACTAGAAGTCAAGCATATTTATTTCACGTCGGATGCACTGAAAACAATATCAGGACTACCACTATTCCACACCGACTCTGCGATACCAAAGACCACCATGACGAGAACCCACAGAATCAAGATTACACAGTCCATCGCACGCCCATCACATGATATAAAATTTGATAGCAAAGGTGCACAAAAATATCAGTTTAAAGGAGCTTGAGGCACTGCAGTCTTTATTCAAACAACATGGCTGCGCATAGTCTATTCTTACATTAGCATGCTGCGTCCTGGTAATTCAGTTTAAACTCTTAATATCTCTAAAATGTTACTATTTATCTATATATTCTGTTATTTGGGATTTTTGCAGTTTATCAAAAAGTGCATATTGCCAACAATAGAAGAATATCTTGATATATTAGTAAAGGTTAATGGATCATTCCTAGAAAATACAGATGTATTGATTTCTATTAAATCTTTGTTATTGGTGCTTCCCTCGTGCAGCCAGCAGGGGGCAGTGTTGTGACTTCAGACAGACTTTCCCCCCACCCACCTCGTGCAGACAAAAAAGGAGGAACGCAGGTGCTTTTATCCAGACACTGAAAACAAGACATAACACACCCTGCCGAGCTTCATTTACCCGTTTTATCCCGGCACAAACCTGAACCGGGCTTAAGAGAATCCTTCACAAATCACTAAAAGGCGGTGGAAGGGGGGGGGTTCCTTATAGGGAGTACAACATTAAAGTAAAGATGGGTCTTGAGCGTGGTATGGATCCCGGTACTTGAACACTACCCGTTCAGTCTAGTTTGGTCCATTGTTTGATCATGATGTCCTGATTTTTCATTCGTCGTGACATCATCCCTGACCTTTTAGAATCCCCCCGAAAGCAGGCCGACCCAGGAAATGAGCCTACCATCCTGGAATGTCAGAGGGAAGACTACCGCCACAGCCCATGAACAACGAGGTCTTTCTCCTCTTCACCCCCCCCCCACCCTCGTCCGCCATGACGGACAGCTCTGTTAAGTCTCTGAAGTGAAGACACGGTATTAGCATTCTGACCACAGACCGGGGGGGTTTGTATGGAAGGAATGGAAAGAAGGAAGTGGGGGGGGTAGAGTTGATTAACCACAACGAGTTCAGGTACAAAAAGTCCACAACTGAACAAACCCATTGACGGTTCTCCCACTTACCTGCTGAGATACTTCAGCTCAGACAATAAATAAAAGGAAAGTAGTGCAATTCGTCATAGCTTAAGCCCCCGTTTGAGAGCCAATAATGAAAAAAAAAAAAGAAAGAGGTGACCTCTTGGACATTAGGGTCACTCAGAGCTCCGCGTTTGTCAGGAAGCGTGATGCGACGAACCTCTGGAGAGGAAACATGCTGGAAAGCGAGGAGGACGTCGTAAGAAAAAGAGTGGATTTGACCAAAACCTACGGGGAACTTGAGCTGAACGGTCACCTCGTAAAGTCAGCAGGAATATCTAATATCTCCACACCTACGCGATATGTTTCAATACAATAAATAAGTTGTCAGTCTGTTGTGTTAGTTGGTGACAAAAAAAGGAACAGAGATATTTTGGGGGAAGTGGAAATGATAGATAGATAGATTCAGAATCTATCCGTAAACGGTGTTCTCTCCCCGTTGGCTTCAGTGCTGGGTCTCCACCTCCACCACCGTCCAGTCCCCGGCCGGAGAGCGGCCGCGGCCGTCCGGCGAGTAGCTGCTGACCGAGGTGACGGTGGCGGCGGGGGGGCTGAACTGTGGGGGCAGGTGGGGCCACATGCTGCTCTCCAGGGGGCTGAGCGTGCCCCCGCCCACGCCCACGGGCAGCAGGAGCAAGGGGGGGCAGCAGCCCCCGTCGCCGGACAGGATCAGGGTCTGGTTGATGAGCTGCTGGACCATGTCCACCTTCCGGTTCCAGTCCAGGTCCCGGGGGCGGGTGCCCCACCCCCCCCGGGCCGGTTGGGCCTCCTCTTCCTCGTCGCTGGTCTCCATGGCCTCGTAGATGGTGCAGAGGCCCGGGGAGGTGGGGCTCCTCCTCATTGGCTGGTTCTGGGTCTGGTTCTGGGTCTGGATCTGGTTCTGGGTCTGGATCTGCTGCAGGCGCAGCAGCTCCCGCCGCTGCTGCTCCAGCCACCGCCGCTGCTCCGCCCGCACACGCTCTTCCTCCTCCTCCTCCTCCTCTTCCTCCTCCAGACCCCTCCGATCCGCCTCCGGAGGCATAGGGGGCGCCACCTGGGCAAAGTGCTCGGCCAGAGACGGGTCAATGGGCCTCCTGTTCCCCGGAACCAAGGCCAGGTAGTGGCCGTTGGCAACGGGAAGGTCCGGTTCCACGCGATTCCGGTTCTGGTTCTGGTTCCGGTTCCAACGGTTGCGGTCGTCTTCCCCCTCGGGCCTCTTCTCGTCTCCTGTGAGACAGTGAAGATCACTTGGAGCATCCGTTAGAGACGCATGCACCAGACAGAACAGGTGGAACACACAGGGTGCAGGAGGAGGAGGAAGAGGAGGAGGTTTTTGGCCGGAGAGGGGGTGGGGGGAAGAGGTGTGACGTAAAAAAAAAAAAAAAAAAAGAGGGGGGTTTTCAATACTAAGTCAGACAGAGCACCACGGACCGTACCTTCCAACCGGAAACGGGGGGGGGACGGACCGGATCATGGGCGCTTTTTTTGTGCGAGATGTTTCCTCTCAAAAAGGTGTCTTTATATTTTAATAAAGGGCTCAATTCTGGGACAGCGATTCGGCCTACGTGTACGAAATCGGTCAGACACGAGAACCAGTACGGAGACGGACGCACGAGGGACTGAACGGACACAGATAGCTTATTAATTCTGTTTTGGACGACTTAACTTTTGAGGCCCCCCTTCATCTCTCTGAAAAAAAGAGGAAAACTCATCACCAAACAGCCTCACTCACAAGCAGCTGTGGTCTTTTTTGAAGTTTTTCCTTCAATGCCGGCAGCTTTTTCCTCTCATTTTCCTTTGCCAAGGCCAACTGTGTGTTTAGTAGATACTCATAAGCACGATGACTACTTTTATCTGCATTTGGGAAATCTAAAAACAAAGCTAATAAACAGCATCTAAAAGTGGCATCCTGAAGAAATTAGGGATGAATCTTATCCACAGACTCTTTTCTACTTATGCATTATGCCCCTTTAAAAGTTTTCAAGCCTGTACTGTAGATCTGCAAATGTTCGTATCAGAGCCAGGATTTGGGAAAAGTGCTCCACACTTATTTTAAATATTTGATGGTTCCCACTATTAGCGTTTTTTTTTAAGTGCATTTCAATATTTGTGTGAATTTTTCTGGAAAAAAGAAAAAAGCAGGCTCTTTAGGGAGATTTAGTTTAGTTTATTTATTTTCTCCCCAAACGGTTATCTAAAAAATTCCAACTTGGATCGTATGGTTTTTGGTCTGATGGGCAAATGTTTTGCACTCTTTCGTCCTTTGAGAGTGGACAGCGATGCAGTTCCAGCTGGGCTCTGCTCTCAACAGCATCACTGGTGGCAGACAAGTGGAGAAAATGAATAAATAAATTAAATATAGATATTTATTTATTTATTCGGAGTGGAATGATCACCTGGTAGGGTTGGATCCATGGAATAAGAAGGCATGCCGAATGACAAACCACTGGAACGCCAAAATTCCATTTTGGATACAACACGATAACAGATTGTTGCATCACTTCCTGTTTTCAGTTACTCCCATATCCACAGGGGGGAGAATACTATTGCATATTGAGACATAATCCCACAAAAAGACACACACACACAAGGCAAATGGAGCACGAGGATGGTAAATTCCGGCATGCTGGACTCATTTGGGAAAAATAAGAAACAGGGAACAAAATGCCTTTGCATTGATGTTTTAATGGAATTTTTAAAGATAACCTAGTGTGAACCATTCAATTCTGAACATGTCTACTGTATAACTGTTTCAAAGTCCAGGTAGTACACAGTGTCTTTTGTTAGTTAAACATGCAATATACTGTTGAAATAGTCAACCAAGAAGCCCGCTACGTCAAACTTTCAGGGCGTGAAGCTGGACCGGAGAAGCCGTGTAGGATTACGCAGGATGCCGACAAATAATAAAGCTACGGTGTTCTTTTTCTCTTCGGAAGGATAAACTGTTGGTGTGGGCGAGGCCTGAACCTAGACACCGGAAACACACACGGTACGCCACTGCGGGTTTAGACCGGCACGACCTATGACAAGAAGCAGAGCGGCTCCTGAAAGCACACGTTACACACATCACCGAAAGCTAGCTAGGGCTGTCCCAAATGCCTCCGCCTGGCATGGGATGGAGAGTGTGTGTGTGGGGGGGCTGGGGGCTTTTTGAGACCGGAGCCTGGACCCAGACGTGGGGAGGCGAAACGTAAGCCACGCTGAGATGAAAGTGTCCACTAATGAGGCAGAATAAATAGAGACTCGCTGGATGTGGGGGATTTTGTGGAAGTTATTAATACGGCGAGGATATTCATAACCAGACATTTAAATTTGTGAAAACTGGTGAGGTGGAGGGGGTAATCTTTGATGCATTTGGGTCAGCCCTGTTTCTACTCCTCCCACACCTACCTCAATAAACCTGTAAAGGCAAAACAGCTGTGTTAATATCTAATCTTTATTGATAGCTAAAAACAAAAAAAAGCCTTGCAACATGAACAGAAACTTTTAGAAAAAGGATTATGTGACTCGCTATGGTGCCCAACATGGAGTGTGTGTACACAGGGTAGGGAGGACCAGGAATTTAACAGAAAACAAAAAAAACAAAAAAACAACAACAAATGAGCAAATACAAAAGAAAAAAAAAAAGACATTTGTTTGGTAAAAACAGTAGGATAAATACACAATGAGTCCATTTCATTCCATCAGTGTTTTTTTTTTCTTCCTTTTCCTCTTTTTCTCCTTTTCCGTTTAAAGGCTCAGTCACATTGGACCAATCAGTCAATACCCCATCAGGGGCTACAGAGTAAGCAGTGTTACTTAAAAAGAACATTCAACTAGAAAACGGTAGTCGCTATTGTACATAACAGAGTTTTAGCCATACACTCATAACCGTGACCAGAACAGTAAGAAAGAGGGAGGCTTCATTTAAAAACTGCTACAGTCATCTTTTTCATCTCCTTCGTTTCTTTTTTTTGTGGGTTTTTTTGTTTTCTTTTTTTTTCATTTTCTTAAAAACATCTTTTCTTTTCTTTCCTACAGTTTTGCTCTCCTTCGTTTTCCTGCTAAGACGTCTAACCCAACCGGAGAGAAAACAAACAGCAGGGAGAGGGGATAGGTTGCAGGGAAAAGGTGCATTCCGGGGATAATAGGAGGGACTTATACGTTACCTTCCAGAAAACTATCAGTCTTATCACATACGGTGGAGTAGTAGGGGGCCTGGCTGTCGTGGGCGTCTCCGGGTACGTGGTCTCCACGGTGATGGCGGGGCTCCAGGGGATCCACCTCCTTCAGGTGGCCCGTGGAAACATTTCCCCCGAGCAGGTAGTGGTGGTCGTCCAGACTGGCAAAGTTGTCTTCGGGGTGGCCCAGAGGCACCAGGTCCACGGGGCCGCCCAGGAGGTCCTGGGCCTGGGCGGCAGCCGCCGATGGGAGGGTCAGCTCCTTGATGAGGGAGGGGTCCTTGGCCTCCTCTGGAAGCTGCTCCTCGTTCTCCAGGGAGAAGATCCCGGGGCTCTTCCCGCAGCTCTCGGCCATGGAGTGGGCGTTGGAGTTGGAGGTGGTGCAGTCGAAGCCGTAGGACGCCACCGAGTTGGCCGACTGGGGCGTGGCTCCGCCCCCGTCCTCTTCGCCCTCCGCCGCCGCCGCGTCCCCCGCCTCCTCGTCCTCCTCCAGAGCCGGCAGGCTGCAGTTTGGGGGGGGGCTGTCGAACCCCACCCGCTGGTCCATCGTGATGGGGGCCTCGGGGTCGTTGATCTGCATCTCGCCCTCCGTGTCGCTGGCCTCGTCGCCGGAGGTGGAGGGCGAGGACGGGGTGGAGGCGGGGGCGGTGGGCGGCCCCGTGCCCAGGACCTCGTCAGCGGGCAGCGTCTCCGCCTCTTCCTCCTCGCCGTCGCCCTTCTCCATGTGGATCCCCAGGTCCTGGTCCATGTCGGGCTGCAGCGCGGCGGGCACCGGGGTGTGCTGCTTGTCCGAGCGCGACTCCACGCCGGAGCTGCTGTCGTAGTCCCGCAGCTCCTCGGGCGTGCTGGTCTCGCTGCCGCTGTGGGCGGCCAGCGCCGTGCCGCTCAGGGTGCTGGACTGGGACATGCCGACGGCGGGGGCGGCCAGCAGGTCGGGAACGGCCTCGGGGGCCGGGCTCTGGGCCTCCTCGGCCCGCGGGTGCCGGGGCTCCATCTCCGACTGGGGGGAGAAGGGGGGCGCGGCGCTGTCCAGGCGGGCCTGGGCGGGGGACTGGGTGGGCGTCTCCGACTCGGCGGCGCCGTGCTCAGACAGCGGGCTCGGGGAGGAGACGTCCAGCACCGAGGCCGGCTGGGCCCAGGGGTCGGCGAAGGGGTTGGTCTGACCCCAGGACGGGGCCGGGGGGGCGGAGAAGTTGAGGTTGTCCAGGCGCTCCTCGTTGAAGTCGTCGTCGTCGGCGTTCCCGCAGCTCTCCGTCACTCCCTCGCTGTGCATCTCCACGTCGTCGTCCTCCTCCTCGTCGTGCTGCCGGAACCCGGCGTGGTGCTCCTCCACCTTCTCCGAGCTCATGTCCATGTCGTCCACCCGCTCGTCCTCATCCTCGTCCTCCTCTTCCTCGTTGGCCAGCGTTTCCACGTTGGGGGAGCCCATGAGGTTGCCGTCGCCCTCGGAGCCGCGCAGGCTGGAGTCGATGAGCGCGTCGGAGCTCTGCGTGCCCTCCAGCAGGGCGGTGTGCTGCGTGCTGCTCATGTCCGACACGCCCTGCTGCCGGCTGCTGGTGCAGCTGCTCACGTCCTCCGAGTCCAGGCCGGACAGCAGGTCGTCGGCGGGCCAGCCGGCCGAGCCGCCGAACGCCGAGGAGCGCGGCGGGAACTCGTCGGAGGGCTGCGACACGCTCATGTCCGTCAGCGCCGCCGACAGCTGGTGGCCGAGCCGCCGCTGCTCTTCGTCGTCCTCCTCCTCCTCTTCGATGTCCTCGTTGATCTCCTCGTCCGCCTTCTCCACTGCCTCCTCCTTTTCGAGGGGGGAGATCAGCTCTTTAGCAGGGAAGTCATCCAGAGGCGAGGCACCCAGAAAGTGGTGCTGCGGGGCAGCGGAAAAGGCCCCTGCAGCTGTGGAGGAAGGCATAAACAGGTTCTCCTTATCCTCCTCTTCCTCCTCCTCCTGCGATTCAAACCCGTGGACATTTTCTTTTTCTCTCTCCGTCTGGAAGCACGCGGCGTTCACTGGGCTTCGGGGAGCGAAACCGACAAGCGCCTGGTTCCTGTCCCAGGTGTCAGGCTGGGCATCCATGTCCAGCAGAGAGGAGGCGTCCTGCAGCTCTCTGACAGGAGAGGCGGGGCCTGCTGGGGAGCAGGGGGGCGACATGACGGTGGTTCCAAGAGACGGAGCCGAGTTACTGGGAGATTCCGCAAATTTGAAAGGGTCCACCTGGGCTGACGTCTTAACATCGGTGACGGGCTCGCGGACCGGTTCAGCTTCCCACGCTGCTGATGTCTGATGAAGTTCTGCTGCTGGTTCGGGAGTTGGCTCCCTAAAGGCCTCCCTAACGGGCTCAGGGGTTGGTTCCCTAATGGGCTCAGGAGTTGGTTCCCTAATGGGTTCGGGAGTTGGTTCCCTAATGGGCTCAGGAGTTGGTTCCCTAATGGGCTCAGGAGTTGGTTCCCTAATGGGCTCAGGAGTTGGCTCCCTAACGGGCTCAGGAGTGGGTTCCCTCGCTGGCTTAGGAGTCAGGTCCTTCGCTGGCTCAGGAGTGGGCTCCTTAACCGGCTCCTTAACAGGCTCCGACACTGCCTCAGGTACAGATTCTAGCACCGGCTCTTTCCCTGCCTCGGGACCTGCAGCGGGCTGCTCCTCACAAGCCTCGACGGGAGGCTGAGGCTCCCCGAGTCCTGCGACCATGACGGCTTCGGCGGCGAGCGCTGCGGCGGCAGCTACGGCCTCGGCCACAACTTCGGCCGTTTCCTTCACGGGCTCGTCCACCGTGGCAGCTTTAGGGCCCCGTTTGACAGGAGTGGGAGTGCTACTTCCCACAGTCTTCTTGGGAACGGGCGTCTTGGTTGCAGCTTTTTTGGTGCCGGGGGTCTTGGAGGGCTCCTTGGAAGGTGTGGCCGGTTTGGGGCGCTGGGTGGACGTCTTTGTTTCTGCAGCTTTGCTGGCAGTAGGCTTTTTGGTGGCGACGTCTGATTTTGAGGCCGACTTGGGAGTGTCGGGTTTTACCGACTTTGTTGTGGAGGACGGGCGAGAGAGGGGGGAATCTGCGGGCTTTTTGGCTGCTGAAGTGGCTGGTTTGGTCACATCTACAAAACAAAACAGCACAACAAGTGGTTAAACAACGTAGTGATAAAAAAATAAATAAAAAAAAACTCGATGCAACACTGGAATGGAGTTCAAACGAGAGGACGTGGGCCGAGTGTAGAGTTCTAAATCAAAACAACAGACTACACTTTACCTCTTTTCACGGAGGTTGTGGTTCTGGATGTTTGTGATACTAGAGGTTTGCCACCAGAGGGTGTAGTGGAGGTTGATTTGGGAGTAGCAGCCTTGGCGGTGGTGGGGGCGGTTTTAGGAGTGGCAGGTTTGGATGCAGCTGTGGAGTTCTTGGCTGTCCCGACAGAGTGAGAAGAGCCGGTGGCAGGGCGGGACGATGCCGACGCACCAGTGGTGGGCCTGAGGAGACAGCGTAAAGCACTCGGTTACACAGAGTCCTCCATCAATCTCTGACCAACTCCTCATCTTCCCATGGCTAAGTCCGCTTTGCATCTATTGTGACATGGCATATTTAAGGCTGTCCCTTACAGAAAACACGTTACAGAAAAAACATGATGATTAATTCAAGATGGCTGAAGCATTTGAGCTTCCAGGCCGTCTCACATCTCGCCCTGGGTGTATAACGATGACGCCTTGCCAGCATGTACTGCAAGAGTAAAAAAAAACAAAAACAGAGCGATCCATCTCTGATGCACTCTTTATTGGCCTTCTTTTTGGTCCTCATTCTTATATGAATGAGCTCATGCCATTCCACTGCCTTTAGTATGGTTTCATCATCTATGAAGCCATTTGTAATGCAAGTTAGATTTCTTTGGGCGAGGTGTTCCATCTAACCCTAAACCCACCCACCCTCGGAGAGATGTGGTGACGCAGCATGCAAAGGGAGTCACAACAAATTCCCTGGGGGGGGGGGTCATGATGTTGATGCTGTCCCTCATCTCCATCTGCAGCCCCGCCTGCTACGACTGGCACTGAGGGCGCTATGCGTCAGCCGGCCCGCTCCAGTGGTCTTGGCCCAGAAGCTGGCTTCTATGTCAGGTCTAACCAAAGTAACCTACATCTAGCAGTCCTGACAAGGCGGTGGTGCGCAGCCTCCTGGGTCCACGCTACAATGGCTGCCTGCTTCTAAATTAAGAATCGGGTTGGCGCTGGCAGAGGGGGAAGAGGCGGGAGGTGGGTTGGCGAGGAGAGGAGATGGCCGGGACCACGTTAAATTTTAATAACGAGAGGGGGAACAAAAATAAACCCACTAAATCCCCACACTCTCCGTTGAATGCCCGCTGCATCGGGAATGGCGCAGCGCCGGTTCACAAGATGGCAACGGCGAGAGGAGGCAGTTTGTGCGCCGAAATTAGATTAAAGCGTCAACGCAGAAATGTGCTTATTTCCAAAGGTTTAAACAAGGTTTTAAGTTAATCCATCTCACTCAGCAAAAGCTTTGGGTGTATTCTGCGTTGCGTAACAGATATTAAGACCTCTGGATCGAGTCCTCTGGATAGCCACCACCAAACATTTCTGAACTAATCTTTGATGATGACTTTAGATTTGTGAAAGAAATGCACTTTATTTTCAATGAAATGAGAAAAAAAAAATGAAAAAGAAAAACTCTCTTACCAAACAGTGTGGCCTTATATGGAGAAGAACACTAGGGATTTTTATTTTTACAAGATTTCTTTTCTTTTAAACTAGACAGTAAAAGGGAAAGAACAACAGCAAAAAGAGAATGGAAAGAATAGAAAGGTAAAGACCGGAATGAGAGAGAGTGCTCTAATGGGATATTCAGAGAGAGAGCATTCCCGGTAATCTGTGCGATAAAAGGAATACAGTTAATCCAAGAAGGCAGGGTGAGTTTTTAACGAGCACTGGAAATGAACCAGGTCACCGGAAAAGAGGAAAAAAAGGCAAGAGGGAGGTGGAGACAAAGCGTGTCGGAGAGATCCGTATGGAAGCATTGGCCAGCATTTGCGAGAGTGTCTTACAACGAGGAACGATTTCCATTTTTTCCCCTTTGGTCTGACCCCATTTTTACGTAATGCAGATAAATGCTTTACGTTTCCCCCACCCTCTGAGCAGATAACTCAGTCTACATCGTCTTAACTTTTCTCCCTTCCCGTTTACTAAGAGAGACCAAGAAGCGGCAGAGCAACACCTCCAGCGCTCTCAGATAAGAGGCGGTTTAACAAGACTTGCCGGGGGTGTCGGAGCCTGAAAAGAGCGGTGAATCACTCTGTAATTAACTGCACTGTCATCTGAGTGACATCCGAGAGGCCCAGATCCACTCAAGCCTTTGAATGACGGGCCTACATTTAGCTCATTGTCTTCAATTCACCACGGGCGAAACAGAGAAACACCACAAATAGGGTTTAAAATGAATGTTGAAGGGATCAGATGACTAATAACTTTTAGATACAGGAACAATGCAACACGGCAAAAACACTGTTAGCTCATCTCGCCGACCCGAGGATCACAGGCAACATTTGAGCTTCCTGGCTTTTCTTCTCCCCACCCATCATGGCCTTGGTTGCTCGGCCCGTGGAGGAATGGCTGTGCTTACACACGGCGGCCTGCTTTTGTGGCGGTGTTGTGATGCTACAAGACAAAGGCTGTAATTTGAATAATGAGACCCATGAAAAGGGCAAATGAGTAAGTAAGGGAAAAACGAGCATGAAGGGAGACATCTTCCCTGCAGCTGATGCGGCCAATTATGGTAAAGAGAAGCTGCCGGCTTTTCGAGACAAGCAGCACATTAGAGATGATGCTGTGTTAATTAAAACAGCACAAATCTGGAGGCGGGTATTGTGAGCCTGGTTAAATGAGCCTGATCGTGCCTGCTGCCACCAAAACTGATTGAGATCATGGATGCCTCCTCAGTAAGTCGTGTTGGCGGGGAAGGCGGTCACACTGGGACACGCCTGGGTGCATGTGATGGCCATCTACTTGCTTGCTGCCGTGCTGACCATCACGGACACTGGCTACATGTTAAATGTGGCCCAAATCAGATTTTCTTGCTTGTGTGTGAATCGGATCGGATTTTTTACTCCAATTCCAATTCAGCATGTGCTTGTGAGTCAGGTACTCATCTACATGTACATTTTTGGGGGATTTTGTATAGTCAAACCGCAATTCCTATGATTACAACATCACTCTCAATCATGTTGAGTGATGTTGCCCCATATCTGTGTTTCAGAGCACAGAAATTAGCCAGCGAGAAGCAGGACCAAAGAGGTATTTGGGGAGATAATTCCTCCATTCAGTGGTACTTTTTTTGTTTGTTTTTGTGCTCATGTGTGCCACTGTTGTCCTCACTTGGTGCAGTAAATCAGAATGTAATCTCATCATGTGGACCCAGTGGAACAGAAATGGATCCTCGGCACATTTAGTGAGGGCCTTAAATTGAATTCTAATTTATTCACATTTAAGTTTTCTGTTTGGTGATGATCCTGCTCTAATTAAAATTAATTATGAAAGAATCTAACTGAATGGAGGAGGATGGCAAGTGGCAAAATTAGCTCTATAAAAAAGACAAATGCTAATATCTGTGAGCTTTGAAAAGGGCAAATACAAGACCGACACATTACCGATTTTTGACCTTAATGCGTTTTCTTCCACATTCTACTTCATCCCATTTGTCTGCATCTTTCTGCTGCATAAAGGGGTGGGGCTGAACCGTCAATGATGTACCGCCCTGTATCCCTCTCTCCAACTCATTCCCATTAAATCCATTTGGTAATTGGCTCTGCAGCTGCACCCCGGTGTATTAATGCTACTGGAGAGGCTGCGCCAAACAGTCAGCTGCCACACCCATAAAAAAAATACATGTAAAAAGAGGGGAAATTTACAGCCTGCGCAACATGTCGTCTGCTCCATGAGGGAGTGCTGAGCGGGGCATCCGCCAGTGCCATTACATTAGCTGTAATTTGTTAGATCATGAGGGCTGCACTCAGTCCACTCCAATAAAAATAAATCATCCCTGAGGGACCATCCGCGGGGCAAACGGCATGACTAATGTGGGAACATGGGCGTCAGTGTGTGTGCCTGTGTGCATTAGGGGCAAAAAAAAGAAAAAAAAAAAGAAACAACCTCGGAAACGGGGGAACAATTCCCTCTCGTCCCTGCTCACCTTCCCTCCCGCTCAATGGGGACAGCATGACTTATTCAACTATGCGGCTTCCATACTCCGACGCAAACCTTTCTCCTGCATCCACAGTTGAGAAAGGGCTGCCGGCAGAGAAGCAGCTCAGCATCACGTGCACCGTGCGCACGTGCCCAGCCAGCCAGCGTACGCTCTTTCCCTCCCCCTTTACCTCCACATCAGACCGAGTTTTACGCCGGCAAGTGAACGCATGCCCTGCATTCTAATTGGAGCGCCAGGTCTATACTGTGAACACAGTGTGTGTGGCGTTTGGTCGGTGGCTTCCAAAAGCAGCCGAACCCAATACGCATTAGGATACACACTGATTAAAACGCGTATTACTGTCAATGTCAGTTTTGTCATTTACAGCCAATTTAGCAGAGATTGCATTCAGAAAGTGCTTTTGCCCATCTCTCTGGCAAGGCTCATACTTTGGAGGCAAAGCGTGATTAGGTTTCTCTATCGAGGACAGGCTTGTTCCAGAGATGGGGAAGCCTGCTTGGATGGCAGATGGTTGCATTGCCTCCAGAACTACAGCTGACCCACAGCTGAGGCAGCACAGGTGCTATGTAAGATCAGTAAAGGAAAAAAATGGGGCAGAAAAAAACTCCCCATTCACATAAATTCATTAAGAATGTCAGAAAAAAAAGTTGGTATGAGATCAGCTCTTTCATGGAACCGACCTGGAATGTCTAACTAAAAGGGGCCGCGCAGCACCTGCTTAAATAAACATTCAGCAGCTTTTCATTTCTTGTTCTCATCCGTTCAGGTTTGGTTCTCGGCTGTATTTTGGCCCTCATTTGTCATTGCGTGCAGGGGAATGCAACGTTATCGCGGGGCAAAAACACAACAGCGGGCTGGCAGGTGTTGAGACACTTCCTTCATTTTCTGGAGTAATGGCCACTTCCACGTGTCCCAGGGGCGGACAGTCGGGCCGTGGTGATTGAGGAGGAAGCCAGGCTCAGAGACAAAAGGCTTCATCTATATATGGGCGGCTTTCTTTCTGTCAGCCCGAAGCATATGGCTAAGAATCTAAAGAGCTACAGAGAGACGTAAAGGGACTGCTAATAAAGTATCCCTCGCAGCTACGGCTACAAAAACCTAATTCGGTTTGGAGAGCAATTTGAAATGGGGGAAACGTTTTGTGTCACTTTGTGTTAGATCGAAGCTGCTTAGCAAGCCTGCGTTTGAATCGTCCGAGAACAGAAACCTGCTTCGGGTGGAATTAAAAGCAACTCAACCTTCAGAGTACGTTTGAGTAAACCGGGAGCTACACTGCCCCTGTCAACGGATAAAAGGCCTAAATGAACGGCTAAGGGAGGAAAGAGGCTAAATTTAATTAAAGCTGAAATTTACGACCCTGTCACAGCACGTGTCGGACACAAATGTTGACAAGCATGCATGCGTCACTAAGTGTGCCTTTAAGGGGAATACGGGGCTGTCAGAGGACCCTACGATCAGCGGTACCAAAGCTCCCTCATATCCATTTATCACAGTTAAATCATGCACTCAGTGCAACACAAAATAACCATTAACATTTTTTATCTTAGCCGTTCTCAGATGCCCAAATCTGATATTGATCTGAATGCAAATTACAACCTCAGCAATATTTCAACCAAGCCAGCTGGGAAATAATGGCTTTCATTCACCTCCTCGCTTTGGTGTCAAGTAGCAACCTCTTAGCAGACGAGCTTCTAATAACTGCCATCGACTCGGATGTAGCCTTACAAATGTGTTTTTGTTTGAGACTAAAGGCTCGATGGAAATGGGCGATATTTTTTGCCAATTTGAGCTAATCCGTCCCATTGTTTAATAGAATAAGCCGGCCAGTGCTCCAAAAAGTGGCGTGAACAGCGTGAAACAGCATAGAGGGTTATATAGTTTAGCTCTTTATATAGGAAAATGAGAGCAACTGGGTTGTTTTCCAATAGACTTTATCTTTGAATAACCCCCCAAAAAAAAAAAAAAGAAAAAAAAATAGAAAAAAAAAAACTTTCAAAAACTGTTGATCCAATTTGGACAAGACCAACGTGTATTTGATGTTAATAGGTGCCGTCTTGTTTTTTTACTTGGGGAAGGTTGGATGGGGGACAACAAACTGTGGGGAAACAATGACCCTTAAGAGATGACATCACCGGGAGGGTTCATAAAGGTTGTATAGTGAGTGTTCTGCCCGGCTGCGGCGATTAACAACGCGACCTTGAGTAATTCTTTTTAATGAGATGTTTGCACATCAGCCATTGTATAAAGCTGTAATCTGAGTGTAATCTCCACAATCCAGCTGCTACACATGGCACAAGGAGATCGGGGGAGGGGGGAAGGGATCTCAAACACCTCCCTCATTGTGATTAGCCACTTGGTACGTCCCACAGGAGGCGCACATTAGTATGCTGCCAAAAACTTCCGCTTTCCTTCAAAGAAAACGCTGCTTTTGACTCGTCCCCTCCAGTCTCAACTGAGGCAAAGTAATGCCCTTTAAGACAAAATCTTATTTAAAATGCAGAAATGCTGAAAACCTGACAGGGAGAGCTGAAGTTTTTCAGGGGACACCAGAACTACTTGGAGCAGCTTTATAAAGGCTAAATGTAATTTTGAACACTCTTTGTTTTTTGGTATGGACACTAAAATGTGATGTCAACAAGTACATTACTGAGCTTTAAAGCTGCAGTTAGTAGGTAAATTTAAGACTTATTGTGACCAGTTGTTTTCAGTCTTGCTGAGACCAACCAAAAAGCGAATTACCACATTTCCCAAAAATATCAAGCCTTCTAGTTTACAAGTCCATGTACATGTTTGTTCTACAAATGATTCGATAACCGTCCCCTTCAACAACATGTGTACGCGATAAGGTGGCGGACCAGGAAGGCCGCTGCTTTCCCAGACAAACAAACACAGTTAAGGGAAGAGAGTCCCAAAGGCTCTGATATCATGATCCCCATCATCTCAGACAAAGGCCTCGTTCAGCCAACGCTGCTGGTGCACAGCCAAGTCACCTCAGGACCCAGCGTCATGCACACAGTGTGACTCAGGTGAGGAACACAAGCTTATCTGATCTCACAACCCCCCCCCCCGAAAAATAAATAAAATGAAATCAAATCCTACCCCACAGAGAGACAAACAAGCTTGTTTGCTCTGAGGAAACAAAACCGCTCAGGGTCTTCTCCTGTTCCTTCTCTGCACCTCCCAAACTTGTTTTATTAATAAAGCTTAATAATGTGCGCACTGATGAAGCATTCCCTCTGAGGCTTTTCCGATATTGGCTGCTTGCCGGGCTGCTTATGCTGCTTGGGCCTCAGTGCAGCCTCTATGTGGGGGATCATTGTCCCCCGTTCCTGCAGGGTGTTCTTTTTAAAAAAGCTGTACTCTTTGAACCCAGAGCCAAGTGAAACCCTTGTTGTCACCGACTGCTTTTCACTCGCCACTGGGAAGGTTTATATCGCAGTCATTCGACATCCCACCTATTTGGTGACTTTTAATGATTACCAAATAAGGATTTGGAGGAATCTTTACCAAGTAGCTGGTAAGATTTTTTTTTTTTTTTACATATTGCGCCAACTTTGACCAGGGAGAGCGATAACAGGCCGCAGCTTTCACCGCCTCAGACATGTTAAACGAGTGTATTTCTGTGCTGGTGAGCATTTGGTTGTGCCTAAATGCCACTCCTACCTGGTTGCCTTGGAAACAAGAGGCTTATCCGGTTTGGGTGAGGCAACAGAGCCTGGCTTGGTGGGAGTCGCAGACAAAGGCTTGGCAGCTGTGAAAGAAGAGTGGCGAAAAACAGTGAGATCGTTCATTTAACGTGGACCATGGAGATGTTAACGTTACACAAGGATGTAGGTCAGGCAGATGTGGATTTTAGACCGTTCCAAAGATCTGGGGCGGATGTATTTATAGTTTAGCAGCAGCCACTCGGGCATGGCTAATATGCACGCTAAAAAAATGTTCAGTGAGCAGCTATCTGTATATAATAAGAATGAACTCGTTTCCTAAGACGAGTGAGTGCATTTCATTGTAGAGTTCTTACAAAGGGGGGGGGGGGGGTTGTTGAGTCACCAACCTGCGGGCTTTTTAGCAGCAGCTGCAGACGTGGTGGATTTGAGCCCGTTTGCAGCGGTCGACGGCGTCTTTTTGGCTGCTGGCGCTCCGGGTGTCGTTTTTGCCCCGCTGCTGCCCAGACCGGCCGCGGGGGGCTTCTTCTCCCCCACTTTAGCTGAGCTCTTGGAGGCTGCGGCCCCAGTTGTCCCGGGTGGTTTTTTGGTCGGAGCTGAAGCCGGCGCGCTCTTTTTGTCCGCCGCGGGCGTGGCCTTCTTGGTCGTGCCGTTGGTCTGAGGCTTCCCGTTGGCGATACGACTCATGGAGGAGTTTGGCCGGGAGCCAGACGTGGGCTTAGACGCGCCGGGGGTGGCGGGTTTCGTCTTGGCCGGTGCCTTGTTGGTGGCCTTGGCTTTGGAGTCTCCAGAGGTCTTGGTGCTGGTCTTGGCAGCCGGGGGCTCCTTGTCCGCGTTGGGCTGCGGCTCCCCCTGACCGGCCTGCTGCTGTATCGTCTCCTCCCCGGCTGGAACGGTTGCCTGGTCGGGCTCCTGCTCCATGGGGGGCGCCGCCTCATTCACTGGGTTGGACTCCAACGTCTCCATTGGCTCCATCGCCGCTGTGGCAACTCCATCCGGCTTCATCTCCCCAGAATGGTCGTGAGGCTGACTGATTTCTCACAGAACGGTCACAACTCTAGAGGGCTCCTGGAGACAGCGAGGGTTAGTCTGGAGAAGAAGAGAAAACACAAAGATACAGTAAGTCAACAGCAAGACCAGACATGGCAAGCTGCTCTCAATCTCTCCTACCAGGAATGTTGGTAGCCTTAGGAAACAGATAAAAGATTAACTTCCATCTGCTTGCAGTGCTACCAAAAAAGAAAAAGAAAAAAGGCATAACATTTCCAACAAAGACTGAAGAGATTAACTGAAACAGAAAAAAACACTTAAAGGAGAGACAAGAGAAAAGACTAAGTGTCGCAAAACTAAGTGTAAGAAGCATCTACGGAAACTTACAGGTTAAATTTAAAAAAGAGAGGTGCTCTCTTTAAAATCAACTCCAAGCAACACGTTTCAAAATTGAAAAAAGTTCCAGGTACTCAGAAGTGCAGGCCATTTTTCTCTGAGCCTCAGCTTCATTACGACAAACAGAGACAACTGAAATCCTGCCCCCACGGTTCTAAAAAAACACAGCAGAGGGTTCCCAAACGAAGAGATGATGCAACACGGGGGTAAACGGCCATGGTTAACACCGTTGTTGGTTTTCATATGCCGGTCTTTAAGTGAATCGGTAATGTCAAATGAGGGAAGCGTTTCAAGCAAAGCAACGCCATCTTTTAATTTCCCTCTGATCTGTCATCTCTGTGTTAAAGCTTCCAAACCCTTTTTGGAAGCCAGGCTAGGCTGCCCGGGCCTGATAGGAGGCTGATCTGTGACAAGCACAGCTGTGTGGCAGCTGAGGAAGCTATTTTGCAGCTTCACGAGTCATCCCGGGAGTCAGTTCTTCGATTCAGTTATACAAATACATTTTTTAATAGAAGCTAGGGGGGGGGGCCATGGCAGATGGCTCTGAGGCCAGAGAGGGAATAAAACAAAAAAAAAGGGGCCACCATGTCTACAACAGAGACAACTTCTTCTACAAATAGCCAACATTAATCTAGATGCCAACTGCGCTGCAGTTGCACGAGGACGACAACCCCCCCCTTCTGTAACACTGTAAAGCTCAGTGACACACTTGGCCCGAGTGGCTGATTTTTCATTTTCATTCATTTTCACGGCAGTTTTCAGAAGGGAACGGGTCACTCGTGCGGAACACCACTATTCTCGAATGATACACGTTAGGCAGAGCAAAAAGGATCTCACAGGCACAAGTGCAAAGGTGTGTTAACACGCTTGGGTGTTTAATGCCTGCCCTAAGCTTACTCAACCCCAGCACGTTTGAAGAGTTTTAAAAAGAACTGGAAGTACCAGTGAGGAAATGACCGAGCTGCCTTTGGAAGGGTCAAGATAAATAAAATTTACTATACAAAACAATAACCCAAAATACAGGAAGTTAGTACCAAGACATGAAAATCTAAGTACGATTTAGGACATGCAGCGCATCCTTAGTCTCATGAAGTAAATAAATCAGTAATAAAAGGGATGTTTTCCCAATGTCCTAAATATTGAAGCTGGAGTGAGGCGCCCTGGGGAAGTTGGGTGGGTGGTGGTGGGGGGGCAGGAAACTGGCCTGTTAAGAGTTTACAAACATAGTGAGGAGCTGGCGGTGCAGGAGGCCAAGTGGTGAGACAAACAGCCAGGCGATACAGAGGCCAGCCCAGAGGAAGACGCTTGGCCTGTGGAGCATGGGAACAGAAAGGCTGCTGGGAGAGAGGAGGGGGGGGGACAAGAAGCAGCATGAGCTCACTGTTGGCTGATGTTTACTAGTCCCGCTTTAGAATCCAGACATCACAAGTCATCCCAGTTTCCACTGCCCCGAACTTCTGCTCAGACTCACTCCCCTATTTGTAGACAAGGACAGCCATCATCCTCTTCATGCTGCTCGCTTCGACACACACACACACACTTTATAACGTTGTGTCGCTCTTTGACCGTCCTCTACTCATCCTCCAGACTGCGTGGTATACACCCAAAGCCCCCCATTCATTCTCCCCTTTCTCCCAACCCCGTTCCTTCACTCCATCCTCAATTTCCTTCCTCCCCCACAGCTCCCGCTTTCCATCCATCCCTCTGTTCTCTGTTTGCCATTGCACAGATGGCTGGAGCAGCTGAGCAGGGCCGGAGGGGGAACGGAGGAGGCTGGGGAAAAGGGATCCATGTATCCCCGATGCCACAAAAGAGCAGGGACACACAGCTCGTGCAACAGGCTGCTCCCTCGAAACGCCCCGACGGGAACCTGCTAGAAGGGACTCGTGGGGTATTTGTCGCTTGCAGGATGTAAATGGCCTCAAAATATGGAGACTTTGTTTAACTGTCCAAGGAAAAGGGCAGAGTGGGCCGGGGCCCTGGCTGACCATGGTTCAAATCCATAACACGCGTTTTTGGCCAGACTAACTTGTTTAAATCCTAAATTGATTAATAAATAATCAGCACATCGGTTTCCCCCCCCCCCCTTTGGTCATTGCAGTGTGTGTATTGTAACCTAAATCGACCATAAAAAGAAAACCGTGTCCGAGGACAAATCCCGGGTCCCTCTTCAAGGGAGTGTCAGAGTCTTGATCTTCCACAGACTAATGTGTCTGACCTGACTTTTCATTAGTCTACGCCTCTCCAAAGTACCCCGCACTGCAGGAATATGTGTGTGTGTGTGTTTGTGTATGCGAGTGTGTTAAAGAGAGCAATAAATCCTGACTGCATATCCATGGCCGGAGGAACATTTCTTTTTCTCCTGCGGGCCTCCAGACAGCTGTGAGATTGCACTTTTCTCCGGCTCTGTGGCCCACGCAGCCCGAGCCGCGTCATCGGGACAATCCATCAGCGCTAAGCTGGAATGGGCTGCAGAGCGGGACAAGGATTTTTTTTTTCTTTGAGTATTCTCCACAAAATCTGGAGGAGAGAGGAATCCTGCCAACATCAATACTATTTGAGAGGCAGGCCAAAAATGAGCAGAACTGAAAGTAAGAAACCATGTTTAGCTTGTGTAGAGCAAGAATCCAATAAGAAAATGGAGAATGTGGATAAGGAGAATAAAGTGTGGCCTCAATTAGCTGTCGTAACAGTGATTCATCAAATACATCTATATAAAAAAATAAAAACCCACATGGATTCTGCCTTGGAGGTGATAAACCGGCATTTCAACCCACGAGAGACCAAGCGCATTTAATGATGTGGGACATAATACGCTGTTATTCGAGACAGATGGATGTGTCAGCCACATTAGTCCGATTTAAAAACATATTTCATTTTAGGCACTGTGCCAAATGTTAAAGACAGAAAGGGGGTTCAGTAGGTTTCTGATCAAACTGCCCCAGCACCCATGGAAATTCGAGCCTCAGCAGGGAAAAACTGCCATCAGCCAGTCTGTACTATAAAGAAAAACGAACCAGTAAATAGTGGCTATCTGACCTCGCTTTCTTAATGCCTGGAAAAGAAACTGGACTTGGAAGAGAATGAAAACGTGCATTAAGTGGAATCAAAACCTTTCAAATGGCCTCTGACCCGTCAAAGCTTTAAAGTGATGACACTCAGCAGCCGAGTGCAAACCAGCGAGCACTCACAACTGACTGGCATCTTCCCAGATATGAACACTCAAAAACACTCAGAGATCTAAGCAGATGCTCCTCTCCTTGATACCAGTGTATCATCTCTCAGCTGGGATGGCTACCAGCCAATTTTGTCCCTATCCACACCGAGGCAGGCCATGAAACAGGTCTGTTTAAAACACTGAACGGAAGCCCAAATTGGGGACATGGCAGTTATGCCTGGTCAGTTTGATAAATGATGCAGCATCTTAACACTGTACTGTTTAAATGGAACTGGCTGGTCTGGACTCTGCACAGTCGGAATTGCAGTTTAAATCTGTTGGCAGAGGGCATAGCTTTGCTCAGTGCTGGACCAGCCACACACCAGTGACGCAAGCATCGCAGGAACCGAGGATTTAGCCCACCAACGTTTGAATGTTGGCAGAAAACAAAAAGACTTGCATGTTTCAACCACCTAGAGCTGGCTGATCCTTCTATGTAAACATGGAATTTCCTCTCTCTGTCTTCCAAACGGAGTTGACTTTGCAAAAATGTGTTTGTTGGCTTTCACTATGCGTTCAGGTCATTGGGATCTTGCTTCCAAGCAAGCGTCCCACTCCAAATTCCCTGCAAGCCTCAATGATGAGCTCCACAGCGAGTGAGGACAAAGGAAACCCACAAAAAAATTAAGCTAAGACATGTTTTTTTTTTAATAGGAAAAAAGGGGGTAAAAAATAAATAAAACAAAACAGCGTCTGTAAAAGAAAGATCAGAAGAGCCAAAACTGTCTGATGTAATATGAGACATCTTTATGTCATCGTACTGCATTATTGTCAATTGGGGAACCATATAATTGCAGCCACTCAAATTGTTGATATGAGCGTCACTAAATTTAGCATATTAATCAGCAGATGCTTTTACTGGACACAGTTGCTTGGCTGGAAATGTGGCGCATGGCTCACATTTTGGTCTATACCCAGGACGTTTCCAAACGGCCAACCTTTACTCTGTGGGACTCGTTTCTGAGTTTACCTCAAAAAGAGGTAAGCCGAGGACGACAAGCTTTTTCTTCACAGCAAGAGAATCCATTGTGGAACCCTCCCCTCCTAATAATCAAGACATTAATGTTCACGCATGCGAGTATTGCGGTCATGCTGCAGTGTTTAGACCAGCAGTGTTGGGAGCTGGTAGGCGGCCAGTTCTTCTGGTGAATTCAAAGCTTTTCTGACTGTCTAGACATAAACATCCAAATGTGTAGGAATAGGGCCCGTTTTAAATGCAGCTCGAGGCAAAAATGGTCAGAACTCCTCAAGAGCCTCACAGTGAAACTTCTAGATCAAATTTGCTTGCGAGCGATACAGGGCAAATGTGACCAATGATGCAGATCAGAGTGGCTGAGAGCTAACTTCATCTTGAATCTGCTCTTCGGCTGCATCAAACCCGACCGGCCGTCAGTAAAACAAGCCGCTCTGTGCCTTGTCCCCTTCA